CTAATAATACCATATATATATTATCTAATTTGTTGTGTGAAAAACACTACTAATATATGAATAAATAGGATATTTTTTTCTTATAGAATAAATAGATCAGGTCTATCAAAAAACTTTATTGTGTGAGTACTTCATTTATTGTTTTCAGAGAAAAATTTTGTGGCTCTTTAAAAACTTTGAAATTTTGTAAATTGGCAATTTTTTTGACTCTTCTGACTCAAAAAGGTTGCCGACTCCCTGTCTTAACTAATTCTTCCATATAACAAATATTGGTATCCATGGAATTGTATTAATTACGTTGAATTAGTTATTGTTGATTTAATACGATAAATTATTTATTGTTAAATTTGAAATATTTAATATAGGCTATTTAAATTAAATTATTTATTTGGAACTTAAAAAAAATTGTAGAATGTGGATTCATTATAAATTTAAAGTTTCTTAAATTACCGATTTTTATGATTTTATAAGGTAGGCATAACATATAATTTCCTAAAAATATATAATCCTTCTAAATATATATTTAAAATATAATCATACACTATACGAGATCTTAAACCATAAAAATATAATTTCTTCCGAACGCAGTTTGACCTCTAATCATATTCTGAGCTGTAAAAATATTGATTTTGCCACCAAATGCTTTCTAAGAGCTGAATACACTTTAATATGACTGTCAAAAACACCATTCTAAGATTCAATATCAACACCAAGTTCTCCCATTCGAGACCCCCTTCAATCCTCCTTCCTTCCCAAACGATTTTTAAAAAGAATATTGGCAGAATGATTATAGTTTTCTGTTTGAGTGGAATTCTTTGATGTCTGTTAGCAAAAAAAATATAGTTTACTAAATAAATATAGTTTATTTTTATGAAAAAAATCAAAAAAGTACAACCAATACAAATGCGATTTGTGGTCCTGGATTATTATTTTTAGGGGTAAAAGTTTTAATGGAATGTCAGAAGAAAATCAGTCGAATTCCTTTCATATTTATATTACTTGGTGACCATATAAGTATTTCTAAAAATAACATGAAAACAACTTATTGCATCATAAAAGAAAACATTTTTCCACTGATCAAAATATAGTAAACTATTAATATTAGAAACTATTAGTATGGGAAGTATAACTATCAATATAAGAAAAGTAAACTATTAATACGATAACTGTTAATATAAGAAGCTATTAATATGAGTAGTATAACTATGAATATGAGAAAAAAATAAAATACTAATACAATAACTATTAGTATGATATTTTAGATTAATATGGTGCTATTAATATGTCTGTATGTAATTATTAATTAGCATGAAATCCCTCAAGCAATATAATAAATTTTGTTAAAAAATATAAAACTCTGTAAACATTTTATAAATTCTGTTGTTGTTGTTGTTTCTTATCCCACTTGGCTGGCCAAGCAAAGACCCCATACGTACTCATGATTGAAGGGGAAGGAAGCAGCTTTGTTGTGATGGATCACCCGTAGGTAGAAGTCTGACTTTGGCTCCGTGACGCTCTTACAATCATAGGAGACCGGGACCTACGGCTTAAAGTGGATTCCGAAAAACTACAAACATCCATGGCACCGCCGGGATTCAAACCCGAAACCAGTAGCAGCGAGCACCAGAGCTCTAGACACTCGGCCATTCAGGTCCCAAATTTGTGAATGCCAACGGCACGCGGTGTTCCCCCGGTGTTCACCCACCCAAGTACTGACCGCGCCCAATGATGCTTGACTTCGCTGATCTAACGAGAACCGGTATATTCAGCATGGTATGGCCGCTGGGAAATTCTTCATCACGATTCATCAGCAAATAGCATGTTTTTAATTCTTCAATTCTTAACAATGTTCTTAACTAATTCTTCCATATAACAAATATTGGTATCCATGGAATTGTATTAATTACGTTGAATTAGTTATTGTTGATTCGATACGATAAATTATTTATTGCTAGAATTTGAAATATTTAAGGCTATTTAAATTAAATTATTTATTTTTGAACTTAAAAAAATTGTAGAAGGTGGATTCATTATAAATTTAAGTTTCTTAAATTACTGATTTTATGATTTTTATAAGGTGGGCATGACATATAATTTCCTCAAAATTTATTGCTACTATAATTAGGATAAAAAGTAACATTTTCCAGATTTCAATTTACTTTTAGAATGTTCTAAATTTCATCAAATAATGAGTGTAAACCCTTAAATAGAATAAACTGTTCAGTTATTCAAAAAAGTCTTCAGCTATATATTTTTCTGCTTAAAATGACCCCGTCTTCCTATTTTACGGCAAATATCAGAAATATAATCCTTATAAATATATATTTAAAATATAACCATATACTATACGATGTCCTAACCATTAAAAAAATAATTTCTTCCAAACGCAGTTTTGACCTCCAATCATATTCTGAGCAGTAAAAATATTGATTTTGCCACCAAATGCTTTCTAAGAGCTGAATACACTTTAATATGACTGTCAAAAACACCATTCTAAGATTCAATATCAACACCAAGTTCTCCCATTCGAGACCCCCCTTCAATCCTCCTTCCTTCCCAAACGATTTTTAAAGAATATTATGAAGATTATAATTTTCTGTTTGAGTGGAATTCTTTTGATGTCTGTTAGCAAAAAAAATATAGTTTACTAAATAAATATAGTTTATTTTATGAAAAAATCAAAAAGTACAACCAATACAAATGCGATTTGTGGTCCTGGATTATTATTTTTAGGGTAAAAGTTTTAATGGAATGTCAGAAGAAAATCAGGCGAATTCCTTTCATTTATTTATATTACTTGGTGACCATATAAGTATTTCTAAAAATAACATGAAAACAACTTATTGCATCATAAAAAGAAAACATTTTCCACTGATCAAATATAGTAAACTATTAATATTAGAAACTATTAGTATGGGAAGTATAACTATCAATATAAGAAAAGTAAACTATTAATACGATAACTGTTAATATAAGAAGCTATTAATATGAGTAGTATAACTATGAATATGAGAAAAATAAAATACTAATACAATAACTATTAGTATGATATTTTAGATTAATATGGTGCTATTAATATTTCTGTATGTAATTATTAATTAGCATAAAATCCCTTAAGCAATATAATAAATTTTTTAAAAAATATAAAACTCTGTAAACATTTTATAAATTCTGTTGTTGTTGTTGTTTCTTATCCCATTTGGCTGGCCAAGCAAAGACCCCATACGTACTCATGATTGAAGGGAAGGAAGCAGCTTTTGTTGTGATGGATCACCCGTAGGTAGAAGTCTGACTTTGGCTCCGTGACGCTCTTACAGTCATAGGAGACCGGGACCTACGGCTTAAAGTGGATTCGAACCACTACAAACATCCATGGCACCGCCGGGATTCAAACCCGAAACCTGTGGCACCGAGCGCCAGAGCTCTAGACACTCGGCCATTCAGGTCCCAAATTTGTGAATGCCAACGGCACGCGGTGTTCCCAGGTGGTCACCCACCCAAGTACTGACCGCGCCCAATGATGCTTGACTTCGGTGATCTAACGAGAACCGGTATATTCAGCATGGTATGGCCGCTGGGAAATTCTTCATCACGATTCATCAGCAAATAGCATGTTTTCAATTCTTCAATTCTTAACAATGTTCTTAACTAATTCTTCCATATAACAAATATTGGTATCCATGGAATTGTATTAATTACGTTGAATTAGTTATTGTTGATTTAATACGATAAATTATTTATTGTTAGAATTTGAAATATTTAAGGCTATTTAAATTAAATTATTTATTTTTGGAACTTAAAAAAAATTGTAGAATGTGGATTCATTATAAATTTAAAGTTTCTTAAATTACTGATTTTATGATTTTTATAAGGTGGGCATGACATATAATTTCCTCAAAATTTGTTGCTACTATAATTAGGATAAAAAGAAACATTTTCCAGATTTCAATTTACTTTTAGAATGTTCTAAATTTCATCAAATAATGAGTGTAAACCCATAAATAGTATAAACTGTTCAGTTATTCAAAAAGTCTTCAACTATATATTTTTCTGCTTAAAATGACCCCGTCTTCATATTTTACGGCAAATATCAGAAATATAATCCTTATAAATATATATTTAAAATATAACCATATACTATACGATGTCCTAACCATTAAAAAAAAATAATTTCTTCCAAACGCAGTTTGACCTCCAATCATATTCTGAGCAGTAAAAATATTGATTTTGCCACCAAATGCTTTTTAAGAGCTGAATACACTTTAATATGTCTGTCAAAAACACCATTCTAAAACTCAATATCAACACGAAGTTGTCGTCCATTCGAGACCCTGCAATCACCCTTCCTTCCCAAACGATTTTTTATTTAGAACATTATGAAGATTCGAATTTTCTGTTTGAGTGGAATTCTTTTGATGTCTGTTAGTAAAAAAAATATAGTTTACTAAATAAATATAGTTTATTTTATGAAAAATCAAAAAGTACAACTATTCTACAAGTACGATTTATGGTTTTGGACTGCCTGGATTATTATTTTTAGGGTAAAAGTTTTGATGGAATGTCAGAAGAAAATCAGTCGAATTCCTTTCATATTTATATTACTTGGTGGCCATATAAGTATTTCTAAAAATATCACGAAAACAACTTATTGCATCATAAAATAAAACATTTTTCCACTGACCAGATATGAAAAATTATTAATATGAGAAGCTGTCAGTATAAGAAGTATAACTATCAATATGAGAAAAAAGTAAACTATTAATGCTATAACTATGAGAATTCTATGAATAACTATGAATATGAGAATTCAGAATAATATACAGCTATAAATAATTCTTTATATAATTATTAATTAACATAAAATCACTTAAGCAATATAATAAATTTTGTTAAAAATAAAAAAATTCGTAGACATTTTCTTCGTAGTTACTATGAAAATGTAGTAAAAAAAGTGCAAATTAAAGTATTGAGCAAGTAATATAAAAAAAAATATTTTTAATGTCAATCTCCACTTTTTTTCACTTTATTGCAGAAAGTCCTTTATAAATAATTTTCATTCATTTTTTTAAGTTTATCTGGTGCCATCTATTGGTAGATATAAGCAACTTAAATATAAAAAAAAAACTAAAAATAATTAAATTAAATTTAATTACTGAATTAATATTTTTAAAAACTGTATTAACATTCAGTGTCATCCATACCAGTTCAAAAAAAAAAATGTATTTGAACTTGAGTGGATGAATAAAAGTATTTTATGAACGATTGGAAATTTGAACAAGATATATATAGGGAGAGTGTGAGCTAATAGAAGGGATTGAATAATCAAATAAGATTCCATCATTTTATTAGTTAAAAATTTAGTTATTTATCTTTAAATTGATTTTCAAATCCAGATGTTCTTCTGAAAGGCCACTCTGCAAACAACTTCAGTCTCTCAATACTTGTACTGATCGAATTAAATTAATTTTTTTGTTGTTGATGACAATCACTACGGAGCATTGCAACATCTCACAGTTTGCTTGGTACTCAGCAAATGCATAGTATTATACTACTGTGCCCAAAAAGTAAGACCATTTTTTTTTTCAAAAACTCATTATTTATTCTTCCAAATTTATTTCATCGCCTTCAAAGAAGCCTCCTCCGGACACAATGCACTTATGCCAACTTTTTTTTCCAATCCTCAATGCATGCTAAAAAGTCATCGGCAGGGAAGGCCTTCAAAGCGCGCTTTTGATACACGTTGAATCTCTTCAATCGACTCAAATTTTCTGATGTGATTTATTCATTTACAATTCAACACCAATCTAAAGTATTTAAATGCTGACACTCGCTATACAATTTATACTAGACTGTTTTAAAATAATTAATCATAAAGTTTATGTGAGTGTTATAGTTTACCAAATAGCTCCCCAATAACAATTATAATACATCAAAACTTTAATGTCAGCGTAATTAACCGAAGAAATAAAAGTGAAACCAAAATCGTAATGGTTGACAAGCGTAGCTTGGAGGAAACTGAGTCTTCTAATTTTATAAAACGATAAAATTTAACAGAATTAATAATTTTGAATCTCAAGTATACCAATCATTATTTTAATATTGTAAGTATGGTTTAAAGTGGAAATAGGTAAGATGTATTAACTTTTTTAATAATCGAAAATACACTCATGTCCATAAATTAAGGATAATGAAGTTCAGGCAAAGAAAGAGAAGAAGCAAAACAAATTCAGAAATTGACAAATTTTTTGGTTATATGGAGTATGTCTCCCGGACGATGCAATACTGGCTTTACAACGCCTAGGCATGCTGAGTATCAAATTATCAATCTGATCTTGGGGAATATTACACCACTCATCAAGCAATGCCCTCGAAATTCCGGTTGACAGGTGGGAGGGGGTTGACGGGCTGCAATTCGTCGGCCAAACATATCCCACACATGCTCTATTGGATGCATGTCCGTTGAGTATGCTGGCTAATCCATACGGGTGATATCCTCCAATTGAAGGCATTCGGCTACAATGTTTGCACGGTGAGGACGGGCGTTGTCATCCATAAACAGAAATTCAGCACCCATGGCGCACCGTAACAAACTTACATGTTGTTCCAGAAATGACATCCCGATAGATGTGGCCTGTCATCGTTACACTCTGAACATGCAGGTCAGTTGTGGAACCAAGAATAATTCCTCCCAAACGAGTCATCCTGCACCACCTAACGGTGTCGTTCAATGGTGTTTTTCTTGGTGGTAACGGGTACCTGGCGCTCTCCATATGAAAGTCCGGCG